TTCCTTCTCAAATGATCCAAGAAGCAAAACCACAGAAATTTTTTGAATGTTGTGGGGTGCCATGATACGATGTCTCAAGGTCCATTCAACAAGGCCCCAAAATAATATCCATGACTGGGGAGCATATATTTATGATGTACTTTTGGAACAAAAATGACCTTATCGCAATTTGATAAAGCAATGAAAGAGGAACATGACGCCTAATGAATTAAACTTATGAACAAGAAGTGATCTCAAGATGACTAGCTCTGGCAAACCATCCTATTTGTTATTTCTTTGGTTATAGACTAATAAAAAACATAAAGGAAACGGTAGCGACAAGCTTCAAATTTTTTTGCTTAAACTTTTTAACATAGGTTCACATGACCAATTCACAATTCAATGAAAACTTCAGCTTCACAATTATTGTAAGCTAATATGTTGAGATTTAGTACAATCAAGTGCTAGGCTACATAATACTTTCTAGATAACTAATTGTTTCAAAAAAAAGGGCAAAAGAGGATATGAGATGAAATGAGGGCCAACGATTAGGTCCTTAAACTCTCGATGTAATCCGATCTTATGTCTTCCAATTTTGTGACTGCATCTCTCATGTTGATCCGCTCATTTGGTCGTTCCTTTGTGCACAACAAACCCATTTCAAGAATTGATGACAAGCATTTAAGTGTTGAATTCGAATATTCGAACCTTGAGCTGCTACTGTTGCCTTGGCTATCATTTTCCATCAAGAGATCGCCATCCACAACATGTAGTGCTCCATCTGAGAATTCTTGTTCTACCCATTTTGGCAAGCTCAAACTAACGTAGAACATAGAATTTGTAGGCCTCTTCCTTGCAAAAGTCTCCAACAATATCATCCCAAAGCTATAGACATCTCAGCTGATTGATGCACTAACCCCTAAACCGTATTCTAATGGTTGATCAAACAAACTTGGTCAGTAAATACATTGAAGAACATGATATCTATTCGAAATACAAAAGAAAACCCGCCTCTCTAATTTTATGCAGTAACATGCGATCTATATGGTCAATGTGAGCCTTTGAAGATGAGGTTATTACTATCCAATTAATGATCCAATGGTAGTAATGGATATGGTTTGTTATGAACCATATATTATAATTTTCCTACTTTTTAACTGTCCTCTCAAATTGGGGGTTGATTGGATATTTTGCACGTCTCTATCCAAAAGGCACTTGATTGACACTAATCCTCATCGTATTTGTTATTATTATAGTAATTACAAAAAAACTAATGTTACAAAATACCCCTTGAATACTATAGAAGAACATATTTCTAGAATTTTTTAATATTTTTTTTATAAATGTGTAATCGTGGGAATTATGGACATACCAAAACTCTGTCCGGTATATAGAAAATAATATTAAAAATTAAAATACACTTTCTGCTCTTAAAAAGGAACTTGAGTGTAAAACATGAAATATATGGATTTTTTTTTTTTAAAATTTTTGAAACTAAAATAAGAACTTTTTTTTATATATATATAAATTTCATTTTGAAAGATTTTATAAAAATTTTATAGAAATTTCAGATTTTTCTATAAATTTCATATTTGTAAACAACCATGGAATGGTCATGGTTGTTATGAGCAGATTATAATTTTCCAACTTTTATTTGTCCCGTGAAATTGGGGGTCGATTGGTTGGTAGATGCACAAGTGCTGGCATTTGAGCCTATATAGATTAGAAATTGAAAGTGATCGGTGCTGGATCGGTCCTTTACATCTACGAAAAGGTTTATATAGAGGTGAGGCTCTAAACAATCAAATTAGAGCCCACCTAAAAAATTTCCTTAGAAGAGGTTGTTTTGAAGTCCAAACATCCTCAAATTGATCATCTCGACATCAAGATGCATGGACGTGCAAAACAACATAGATTTCAAGTTTTGGAAATAGTGCATCTTGTAATGCATTTTTGGATCGTCAATTTTCAAGCTCTTCATGTTTTCACAGATTTGCTCTATCTACACTATTTTTGAAGCTGTAAAATTTTTAATTAAAGATAAGAATATATTTTAAGGCTATCACAAAGATTTTCAATATTGAAACCACACTATTTGAAGGTAGGCTTTACTTTGATTGTTTAAAGCCTCGGCTCTATACAAACCGCACCCTTACATCTAAGGTGCATGATATATCCTACACCATAGGAATATTTATTGTGTTCTAAATGATGAATGGTCGAGATTAACTCTATCCAATTGACTGCTCATCATCAAGAATTGTTGTTAATCTCTCAATGGATTTTGGATGTTCCCATGGTGTAGCACATACTAAATAGAACTTTAGGAACCATGTCCTTCTATTTAGGAACCATGTAATATAGGGTCCAACGACTAAATTAAGAGGGCTGAGCCCAATGTAAAATCCAGAATTAATGCATCAAGTAAGGTATGTCCATACCGATGTTCCATATGCTAGGGCTTGTTTCCGACTATTGACAAGGATCTCCCCTGCATGCTTTGTGTTAGAAGTCACTCGGCCTACAAATCAGGCAATCCAAGTGTAGGACATCAAGAGTGTCATAATACAATGACTATTCATGAAAAATGAAAGGGCTATGTGATCTAGCACAACATGTACAGTCAAATTTTTTGCATTCTTTCTTTTGCAATATGGGCTAGATGACTTGCATATGTCTAGAAAATATAACATCAATTTACATAAATAAAACTTAATACAACCTAGGATCTTCTCTTCCATACCATTGCAATTCTATCAAAAAAATATAGTTAAATTCATTATTTTTAACAAATATTTGTATTAGTGGGAATTTAGAAAATATGCTATCCTTGTACAATAGAGTCTTAATGAACAAAGTTTATTTCTATAAATATTAAATTTAAATCCTCAAATTATAAGGAGTCCCTTAATTTTTATTTCCAATACAAATAAGGAATGCGGCATTTTTAATTTTTTATGAAATTTAATTATTAACATTTTATTGTTAAACATAATTTATTCCAATTTAAATTATGAAATTTAAAAATAAAGTAATAATATTAAAGCATCAAAGGCTATCTATTTTGATTGATAGCTTATGAGCTTGCAGCGCGTGACTAAACACACTCATTTAAGGAAAGAACAAGTTTAGATGCGGTGTGAACATCATACTATAGAAGTAAAGCGTACCATAAACATCCACTTGAATCTAATCATCCCGGCCACATAATATAAGAATATACAAGAAAGATTTCAATTCCTAGAATTAATGCAATGAACTATTTGGACCATTCATTTTCTAAAATTTAAAGTATGTTTAGATTAACTATAACTGCACTATTTTTGGAACTTTAAATTTATAATTTAGAGAAATATAGATTTTCAAGCTACCATTGCTCGAGCAAATGGAGAAGTAAAAGTCTAATCCGAGATTGGAACCCTAATTATCGTATCAAATTGCATTGCTTGCCTTTATAGGTAACTTCAAATAATCTATATTGTTTTTTTAAATAATATTTTGTTTTCTTTTGGATAAGTTGGGCTACTGAAATTAGGCTCCCCTAGAAATAGGAGCGGACCAGGTTGACAGCTTTATTACGCTTACAAAGGACGAGAAAACCCTGATGTTCCTAAAATTTTGTACATCCAAACAAGCTATAAACAACCAAACATCTTTTTTGGCCGTATTAGAACTTCGCTTTGATTAGAATGTTGCGTATTTTTACGACATGTTTGGTTGGTGCATGTTAAAATTACCTTTTTGGTAAATAAAACTCATCATAAAATATTTTACTATAAAATGGTCCACTTTGCATAAAAATATAACTACATTTCAACCCATGGCAAGCATTTCTTTGGTTTTATTTAAATATAATATATATTTATATTATATCTAAAGTTGAAAGAAAAGCCTCAAACTTGCAAGTGCATCGAGAAGGGTTGACTTTCCGCACCCTGACGGGCCCATGATAGCCAAGACCTCGCCTGGTTGGGCGCGCCCATTGAGCCCCTTTAGAATTGTGCACACACCCTCTGTCCCATGAGCTGTGACCCACAGATCGGTCCATGTTAAGCCAGTGGAACCTACTAGATCCATATCGGGTCGAACCGACTTATGCTTGGTCCTACCCATCTCCACACTTGTCTCAACTGTGCGTTTAGAGCAAATCCTGGCCGGTTGGAGAGCTGGTGAATTGAGGTGGAAGAAGCATTTGGTGGTGGTTGATGCATCCTCATCTGTGTCGGAGACATTTAGGCTCGGGTTTCGTTGGAATGGTTTGGAAGTGATTTCATCAAGGTAGATGTCGTCTTTGGATTCATGTCGGAAGGGATGGTGGCCGAGGAGAGGGTTTGGGGATTGTGTTGGGTTCGAGTGCTGTCCATTGTGGGACATAAGGGGGTGAGGCCATCGGGATTGAGAGAGAGAGGGCGGCTCGAACCATAATGAAGGGGAGAGAGAGAAAGAGAGAGAGGGGAGGGGCGGACGGGGGTTGGGAAGACTGGTATGAGGAGATGATGGTTTTATACTCTTTTTGGTCCGTTTAAAATGTGCGTGTAGAGATAGAGGGCGGTTTATTTGTAAAAAGAGAATAAAAAGAGAAAGGGCGGCTCGAACCAGAACGAAGGGGGGGAGAGAGAGGGGGAGGGTGGACGATGGCTTTAAACTAAACTCCTTAGGTCCGTAAAATGTACGGGGAGAGTAATATATTATATTTAGGGAAAATGTTTTTCACATGGTCCTCTCCTTACCATGCAGCTGTCCAATTTAGATCAAGAGAGTCACTCACCATTTCATATGAATATGAAATTTAGTACATACCAGTTTCTCATTGGGGCACACCTATAAAAAATATTAAAAATAAATTTTCGATAATATATAATGACCAAAATACTTTTGAAACTTTCAGAAGTATTTTGATCATTTTAATTTATTGAAAATATTTTTTGTTAGTGCGAGTTTAATAGAGGAACGGACATAAAAAATTTAGTGTCAAAATAGTTTATAGAAAAAAAGAAAGTTCACACATTGTACATCAAGCAATGAACTTAGGGGCCCGCTTGTGGAAAAAATGGCTCCTGCCATTGTTTCAAATGGCTCCTGCCTTTGTTTCAAAAGAAAATTTAATGGCCTCAGTCATCAACGCAAACAATTGCCTCTCTCTCTCTCCAATGACTCGGAGATGCAGTTGTCTCTCTCTCTTGACATCGAGAGGACCCACAAATTTTCTCTGTCTTAGATGGTTTCAAGAGGACCTGACTTTCTAATTCCCCGAAACTAGTTTTTGGGTCCACACGTAAACTTTGCCTCCCCTATAGAAGGGACTCGCGAGGAGGGCTTGTAGCAAGCATTTCACCAGTGCTTGTTTAGTCAATAGAAGCACCATGGAAGCTAAAAAAGGAGCCCTTCTTCCCCACCCTCTGCGTCTTATCTCACTATTATCATTCACTGCTGTCATGTGCTTTTTCGATTTCTCCATGGCCTTGGAGGGCTCCCCATTTTGTAGAGAAAATGAAAGAGTGGCCCTCTTGGATTTCAAAGCTTCCCATTCCACAAATGCTACATTGATGGATTCATGGAAGGGGTTGAATTGTTGTGAGTGGGAAGGAGTGAAGTGCCACAGTTCCTCTTCTCATGTTGTGAGTCTCAGAGTATATAGGATACCTTGGAATATCACTGGATATACAAACTCTGTAATGCTGAATGCCTCTTCCTTAACTAGACTCGGCCAGCTGCAACATTTGGGACTGAGCTCCTTTGCTGGTGTGTTGCCCATAAAAGGTGAGTCTCGTTCAGTTGACAGATTTATACATATTCTCTTCATCGTTGTTTCGTGATAGGTGATAGTAATTACTGAGCTCTTGCATGGTTATTTTGTTATGGTTGCAGAGCTCTCAAAGCTAAAGAACCTGCGTGAGTTAATCTTGGATTTCAATGAATTTAGTGGAGGAATTCCTGAGGAGGTGGGTTTGCTCTCTTCCCTTCAAGTGCTTTATCTAAATGGGAATCGGCTTCAAGGACGCATACCATCAACTCTGGGTAACTTGTCCCTTCTCAATAGTCTGCAACTATATGAAAATCAACTTTCCGGTAGCATACCAGAATCTCTTGGCAGCCTATTATCATTGGAATGGCTCGGCCTCGGCAACAATAAACTTGAAGGGAGCATACCATCAACTCTGGGTAACTTGTCCCTTCTCAATGAACTACTACTATATGGGAATCAACTTTCCGGTAGCATACCGGAATCTCTTGGCAGCCTATTATCATTGAAACGGCTTGACCTCGGCGAAAATAAACTCGAAGGTTCTATCCCATGCGAATTAGGTAAGCTTTACTCTTTGGTTGGTCTTTTTCTCAATGATAATGACTTGTCTGGTGATTTCTCCTTCACAGTCTTTGCAAATGTTTCTAGCCTCAAAATTGTCCACCTCTCTGCAAACCCTAAGCTAACCATTTCCCACAACAACTTTACGCCTGCTTTCCAGCTTTATGCTCTCAATTTGTCCTTGTGTGACATGAGAAGGTTCGACTTAAGTTCTCCAGGCTTCCTATCGACTCAAAACCAGTTAGTAAATGTCGATCTCTCAAAGAGCGACATTCCTGGGAATATCCCCTCTTGGTTACTTCTAAACACTGGACAACTGTTGTTGGATGGGAATTTGCTCACAGGAGTACAATTTTTGCCTAACATATCTTACGACCTCAATAATTTGGATATCTCTAACAACCAAATCAGTAGGAATTTTCCAAGAAATTTCTCTAGTCATTTTCCAAATTTGCAATCACTTAAAATGTCCCAGAATTCCCTTGATGGTGACTTAATGTTTTACATCAATGGCTTTAAGGGGTTGAGAGTGTTGGATTTGTCTCGCAACAACATCTCAGGAAATTTGCCTTCCATTTTCCCCTATAACCTCACAATTTTGGACTTATCAAACAACAAAATCACTGGAGAACTACCCCCCAATTTGACCAGAGGACATGACCTCATGTTTTTGAGCCTGTCTAAGAACTCCTTGAATGGACCCTTGCAATCCAAACACTTCAAATTACCAAATTTGGTATCACTCCATCTAGATAACAATGCATTCAATGGAACCATACCGAGGAACCTGTTGTTGTTTAGTCCAAATCTAACTATTTTAAATCTTGCAAATAATGAAATATCTGGTCCCATGCCAATTGAATTATTTGGGCATTTCAAATTGAAAGTGCTAATCTTGAGAGGAAATTTTTTCGATCATATTCCACTCAAATTGTGTCAAGTAAAAAGTTTGGCCGTCTTGGATTTTTCCCAAAACAACCTTGAAGGTCCCATACCTCCTTGCTTCAATAATTTTTCTGCATGGACAAATGCATCCTTTATTGGTTCCATTTCATCTCGTTATGATCCATTTTTTACCTTTTCTACTGAACTTGGTTCTGGGGGCCGAATAGTTTATAAGCTTTACACAATCTCACAAGAGAACGTGGAATTTACAAAGGGAAATACATATAGTTATCTCGGGGATGCTCTTAAGTACATGACCGGTTTAGATTTGTCGGAAAACAAATTAAGTGGCCCTATTCCATTAGACATGGGGCTTTTAAAAGAACTGGCCATGTTGAATCTCTCCAACAATCTTCTAACAGGTCCAATTCCCAAATCCTTTGGAGGGTTATTGGGTCTCTCAACATTAGATCTTTCTTGCAATGCACTCTCTGGTGAATTTCCTTCTCAATTAACAAGACTTACCCATTTGTCCATCTTTTCTGTTGCAAATAATAATCTATCCGGTGAGATACCAGACACAACACAATTCTGTACTTTCAATGAGAGTTCTTTTAGTGGAAACCCAAACCTGAATACACAAGGAAAGAGGTGTTCGACAACTCTGTCATCAAATGTGCCAACTGGACCGAGCGATGATGATGGTGAAGATGAAGATGAAGGAGAGGAAGGGTGGGTGGAGATGACACCTGCGGTCTATGCTTTCATTGCCTTGGGTTATGCTATTGGCATATGGGGAGCACTAGCCTTTCTTTTTTTTGGCAACAAGAGAGGACATGCTTGTGTGAGGGCCATGGACGCAATAGTCTCCCGACTTTTTCGTGCATTTTGCCGTAAACATTAGAGTCATTCGACTTCTTCTCCTGTTCACACACAACAATCCAATGCGCAACAATGTTACCATGTGGCACAATCACTCTATTGTAGGGTTGTAAGATAGGTAAAGGTTCGGTCAAAAGATCGTTTTTTATTTATTTCCAAATTGCCCATCGGACCGAGGATCTTCGGACTCCTTGTTATTTTTTGTTTTAACTTATTTTTTTCTAAAGTAAGGCTGCATAGTCTTATTTAATGCGGTCCAAAGATGCCAACCGGGTTATACCTTTAAAAGAATAGAACAAAATCCGAACCTAACACAACCGGGTTTACAGAATATGATGGCCATTAGATGGAATAAGAGATCACGAATGGACGTAAAGCCACATTTTTGGTTATCTTGGTGTATCAAAGAGTCTCTCAAGAACTTCCTTCCCCTTCAATTCCCACCATTAATATATCAAAAAAAAAAAAAAACAACTTTTCAATTTAGTTTTCAAGGCACGGTCTTGCTTAAGGTAAATTATAACCATATTTTTCTCTTTTAAATGAAGACGAGCATGAACTATTATTGTACGACCAGGCCACTAGGGAGGAAGGATTTTCTTGATTTAAATTTTTTTTACAAGAATAAAAAAATAATAAGCTAGATCTTAAAAACTTGATCTGACCATCCAAAACCTAGCAAATGAGCATCCAAATCTGAAAAAATGCACATTCGTTTTCATTTGGAGCCAAACAAGTAGTTTTGTATGTATCATGGGCATGGAGAAAGAATGCAAAAAGTTACTAGATATTGAGAAAGTGCTGATGTTGAGAAAAAGTTACAACATCAGTAGTCTTATTAGGTTAGGTTAGTTTTCAAACTGCAGAACGTACCTTATAAGTTAAGCGCAGTCTAAGTGACTCACGTCTATGGATTATTGATTATTATGTCAAAAAATGAGCAGTAAAAATGTTTTAATGTGTTGCGATCCAGCTTGTGAATCGCTGATCCAAACTGGAAATCAGTAGGGACTGAACTGGTTTTGTAAAGGTATCTGTTATAGCCGGTTCCCCACGTAAAATTCCTCATTTCACATTTCTTTTTTCCCTTTTTTTATGCTTATATAATGTTTCTTTAATTCCTCCCTATTTTTATTTTTATTTTTTAATATTTTTCTAGATTGCCGATCCAGTTATCTATCACAGATTTATGTGGTGGACCATTTACCCCACCGATTGAGGTTTCAAAATACTAGTCCATAAAAAGGCAATTTGAAGGTGCATGAGATGGTAGTTCCAAAAGCTATATCAACAGGCAGGTGCAACAGCCTTTTTCTTAATAGGCCTCATGATAACTTTCTTTTAAGAAAATAGACCTTAAAATATTTTATTTTTGAGTTTAGCTCTCCACCTTTTTATAGTGAGCCAAATGGAGCTATTTGTCCCTCATAAAAGAAAAATGTTAAAAGTTTCTTTCACCTTCCATGCCTTTCCTATTTATAAAATGTATTGTATTAATTTAAATGAGATTTTGTTTCATTTTGCGGACCAAGAGAACCTAAAAAATGAGGGTAATTTGTATACAATGAGAGAGAGACATAGCTGTAAGTTGAATTTTATACCTTGTGATTTATTCTCTGTGGCATAGCTGCAAGTTGAATGTATTGCAAGACAAACCAACTCTTCCTCTTTCCATCATGGTTAGCAAATTCGTGTTTTGGAAGTGCATTTTCCAATGGGATTAATATAATGAGGCCATTAACCTACGGTACAAGGGGTTACAATTGCTTATAATCATCCGAGGTGAAATTTGATAGCTTGAGTGTATCACAACGTTCGATAATTTTTTTTTAAAAAAATATGGTCAACTTCACTACTGGAAAAACATCTTGAACTTCACGATTTTAAAATGGAAAAATATACACTGAGACTACTTATCTTTAGTACAATTATTCTTGACTATAGGATGTGAAAGTAATAAGTTATATTTATGTCATTGATCAAGCTCAAAGTTCAAAAGAAATTTTCTAGAACTTTGTTATACACCCAAGTTATCAAATTTCACATCGGATAATTATAAGTAACAGTTATGTTAAGGTTGCATTTTATAATTTTACTCAATAAATTTTGGACACTTATATATCATTGTTTTGTAATACAATATTTTTTTTGGAAAAAAGTTTCATGCGGCCTGGACCTCATTTCTACAATATGAGGTCCCAAGGTATAAAACATCCATCTTAGAGGTTGATGAAAATATGTTGTCCATCTAAAAACAACTGAACTAACTGTCCAAATGTTTTTTTCGTAAAATCATTATTTTTATTTTTTAAAATTTATATATTTTTTATATTCATGATCTCCATGTTAGAGATTACATGTCTTTAAAAATTGATTTCGAAAATCCATCTCAAAAATATATTTTTAAGAGTCAACTCATTTCTACATAGACTCATAGAAACCGTGTCTTATTTTTTTAGTAAAGGTATTTTTGGTAATTAGGAGAGATGTGACATCATCCACATGAGGTGTGACATCACACGTATGAAACATTAAAAGCCACTAGTGTACTCCATGTTGATGATGTCATAGTTATGTGGATGATGTCACTTCCTCCTAATGACCAAAACTGCTCTTACTAAAAAAATATTATATTACAGAACATGGGCATATAAATGTTCACAATTTATTAAATACAATTATAAAATACTCTATAATATGAGCACCCTAACATAACTCTATAAGTAAATTTTCATTGTACAAAATCTCAAACAAAATATCTAAGAAGATCACTGTTTTTTGTTTTGATATTTTTTCTTTGAACTTTCACTATTGTCATAATATCTAATAAAATCATTTTGTCAAAAAAAATCTAATAAAATCATTTTTTTTTTCTTTAGGGTATTTTTTTTTGTTCATCTTTTGATGCACGTGCCCACTATCGTTTTTATGGCTATGGGGATTGAGACACGTCCTATGTCACCACGTGCATGTTTCTACGTTAGATGCATGATTATTAAAAAAGAAAATGTGCAAATTCACTAGAGGATAAAGCTTTAAGAATTGTTGATCCTGATCAGAATCATATGATAAGGATGTGATATAGGTGGGGAACCGACCCGGTTCCTATTTGAAACTAGGTAAATGTTCGGTTCCCACAAAATTAGCTGGTTTTCACTTTTTTATTTTTTCCAATTTTATATTGACAAATTTTCACCTAAGGGAATCAGTGAATAGGTCAAATTACCTTGCGTGGGCTGAGGAGGCCATGACCCTATCCTTGTCACTATGTTAGGGATGGGCTTGGCCTGGCCTGGCCAAGTATGATCCAATAAAAAAGAACGAAAAGAAAAGCACGAGAAGAAGGGTTGGGCGAGGCGAACCAGGCAGGCTCTGTCGTGGCCTAGCTCTTGGGCCAGATCTTGTAGCCCAGACCACAGTTTTTTAGGGCCGGCATGGTTGTCGTGCCTAGCCCAGCCAGTGAGTGGAGGTGAAAAATTGTTAAAGCATTCCCTCTTAAACTTGCTACAAATATAAATGAATTTCCATTTAGTGGTCTAGACAAACATGATAGAATACCATGAGCTCCTAAGACTCGCATTTGTCGCATATTAGGGATGGTGTACTATAAGGACGGAAAAAAATTAAAGGAAAAGGTTTCTATACTTTTCCTATTGTAGTGAAGATATATACTTCCACAAATTGTTCAATGGTTATCAAGTGAGCCACTTATCATTTGATCTAGATAAGACGCTTCATAATATTTTATTTTTGATTTTTTTTATAAAATTATATGAATATGATATTTGGTATGTGACATCATCTCAATAGGGTGCAACCAAAAAAGATATTTTTTAATATTTTGGTAAAAAAATATTTAAAAAATTTTAAAAAAATTTTGGCCTTTTTATTTTATCGAGAATATTTGTTTTATATTTTTTTTTACAGGTGCGAGTTTGAGAGAGGAGTGGACACTCAAAATTGGTTTTCCACTTAAAATAAAGGGTTGGATAAAAAGAAATACATAAGTTTTATACCTTAAAGGTCGTTGAAAATAAAAAAAAAAAATACAAAATCTTGCCCTAAAACAAAAACAGTGGGATGAAAAAAAATTGCTTTTCCCTATCATAAATTAGTGCCATTATGAATACTCGTGCGAAGAACTTGCCCGAAGGTTTCTAGGTTAAAGGGCGAATAAGAGCGCATTTAAATGATAATGACAACCACTCTAGGATGAACAGGTGCTAAAATTTCTCATTTTCAAATATTTATAATATTTTCCAATATTTATATCTAAAAAAAATTTTCGATTAAAATACCATCACCCGTTGCAAATTTATCAAGGGGATAAAAAATCCCAATTGACAGCAAATGTTTATTTATTAATTCTCATTTCATTTAGGTGCCTCAAAAACAAAAACATCTTTAAATATAACCCGACATTCAGAATTTGACCCATCTTAGAGGCTCCCACCAAGTGCCTGGGCTATCTGGCTTACTTAGGAAATATCACAACAAATTTTTCAAAGTTGAACATGGACAATTTAGATATTTTTTAAGAAGTTATTTGAGTAAAATGAAATTAAAAAGTGATTGAGATGTTTTACCCGTAGTAATTTTGTAAGTGCTTTTGACCCCTTAAATGCTTTTTAATATCCAAAAACTCGTGAAGGTTACTTCACACATCGATATATATTTTATGAGAACTAAAACTGTCCATATTTTAAAGTTTTAGTGCCTGACAACCGAAACAAACAAAATTTATAGGCTAAATACTTTAGCTCATGAATAAATTATAACGATTATGGTTTTATTGTAGGTACGACAGAACTCCATTTTATTATCTTACATAGATGACTAAGTTAATTAGACAACCAATATCTTAAAAAATGACAATATATCTTAAAATATAAAAAGTAAAAGCATTTTAAAATGTAAATGTTATCCCACATATTAATTGGTTTTCATTGATAAATCAATGAATTGGCTTAGGAAGTCACCCGGATATCGCGGACTAAAACTTTCAAATTTGATTTGGTGTGCACGTTCCCCATATTATAAGCATCCCTAAGTGGATATTAGTAGTGGTTGTCAAAAAGATTTTCTACTCTTGCTGGAGTATATTATTCATTTACTCTCTGAAACAAAATGCATGCCACGACTACTTTTTAGA